AGTCCTTCCAATGAATATTCAGTGTTGATTTCCTACAGAAAATTTACTGTTTTGATCTCCTTGCTGCCTGTAGATGCTAACTTTTGGATGCCTAGGTAGTTAAGAGGAGGTAGGTTAGTCCCTTGGGGCTTCATGATCAACGCTAGATACTAGACTTCTGGCCTCCAGAACCAAGAGAATGAACTTCTTTGTTTTAAGCAACCTGGTTTGTGGTGTTGATCATGAAGCCCCAGGGAAGGTCCTTCTTTGTCTCGTCCAGCTTCCAGAGGCTGCAGATGCTCCTTGGCCTGAGGCTGCATCACCCCAATGTCTGCATCACCCCCGTGTCTGCATCACCCCCATATCCGCATCATCACCCCCGTGAGGGAAACCTTGAATCCTAAAGTCCTCCACTGGGTAATAGAAGGTGGGACCCATAAAATAACAACTGCTATTATAGAATTTCAATGTGGCCAATATGAGAATTCTCTCAGCTCAGCCCCTAAAACCTGAAAGCATTTCATAAATTCTCAGTATGTTAATGATGAAATGACAAATAAAACTGGATCCTGCCGTGTAGTTAGGTATTTAAATTCACCCCCATACCTGTGAGTCTAAAGCAAGTTCTTGACTCTTATGCTTAAAACAACAGATTTCAGGGACTTCCCTGGTGATCCAGTGGTTAAAATTCTGTGCTTTCAGTGCAGGGGGTGTGAGTTTGCTTCCTGCACAGGGAACTAAGATCCCACAGGCTACAGAGAGTGGCTAAAATAATAACAACAACAAAAAAAAAAAAAAGAAAGAAAAAAAAATAACAACAACAATAATAGATTTCTTTAAAAATTAGGTTGCTATAAAATTTTTTAAAAAACACACAGAGATTTCAGTCCATGGTATCTCAATTTCCCTCTAGCTTATCATCACTACATCTGTTTATTTAGTTTTATTTTGATTTTTTAAGGGCTTCTCTGATAGCTCAGTTGGTAAAGAACCCCCTTGCAATGTAGGAAACCTGGTTCGATTCCTGGGTCAGGAAGATCCCCGAGAAGGGACAGGCTACTAACTCCAGTATTCTGGCCTGGAGAATTCCATGGACTATGTAGCCCATGGTTCACAAAGAGTTGGACGTGACTGAAGGACTTATTTTTATTTTTAATTATCTTCAAACTTAGGGAAATCTTGCAAGAAATACACACAAAATCCTCCTACATAATTCACACAGATTTACCAACAGTCATCTTTTGCAACATTTACTAGAATATGCTCTCATTTCTTGCACTCTCATATACAATATAAACTTTTTCAACCATGTGACAGTAAGTTACAGAAATCCTTTCCTTTTATCCCTCGAAACTTCAGTGTATGGGGCTTCTCTGGTGGCTCAGGGGTGAAGAATCCACTTGTCAATGCAGGAGACATGGGTTCCATCCCTGGTCTGGGAAAATCCCAAAAGTCCCAGAGCAACTAAGCTCGTGCGCCTTGACTATTGAGCCTGTGCTCCAGAGTCGGGAGCCACAATACTGAAGCCCATATGCCCTAGAGCCCGTGCTCCACAAGAGAAACCACAGCAATGAGATACCTCCTCACCTCAACCAGAGACAGCCCCTGCTTGCCACAACTAGAGAAAAAGCTTGGGCAGCAACTAAGATGCAGCAGAGTCAAAAATAAATAAATACAATTATTTTTTAAGAAAACTTTATATTTTCTAAGATCAAAAATATTTCCTTTATAATCACACAAAAATGATAGAAACCAGGGAAGTTATTATTGATGCAATGTTATTATCCAATCCACAGTGTGCATTCAAATGTGGTCAACTGTCCCAATAATAAAATAATAGCATTTTCTCTGGTTTAGGAGTCAATCCAGGATTTAGTTTACATTCTCCTCTATCTGGAACACATCCTAAGCATTTTTTTAAAAATAACAATTTGATAATTTAAATGATGCCAGATAATGGTTTTCGAGAAGACCCTCAGTTAGAGTTTACACAATATGTTCTCATTAATACCTTCAGGTCTAGACTTCATGGTTTAAATATGCCAACATAAAAAGGAAGGAAGGTAAGGAGTTCTCTGGCAGTCCAGTGATTAAGACTCTGACCTCCCAAAGCAAGGGGTACGGGTTCAATCTCTGATCAGAGAACTAAGATCCTACATGCCATGCAGCATGGCCAAAAAAATTTAAAAACAAACAAATGAAAAAAAAGAAACGAAGAAAGGGAGAGTAAATTTACCGTGGGGAAATCTAACAAACATTACTTCTGCCAGGTGATCAAAGTCAACATCAACAATGAGATGTCAGGTTGATAGTAAATACCTTAAATGTTGTGACTGTACTAGTATTTTATTTCCATGATCTTCCTCTCCAAAACCCAGAAACCCAGTCTAATTATGAGAAAAACATCAGGCACATCCCAAGAGAAGGACTTCTCCAAAATACCTGACTAGTAATCCTCAAAACTGTCAGAGTCATCAAAGCAAAGGAAAATCTGAGAAACTGTCACAGCTAAGAGAGACCTAAGGAGACATGAAGATCCAATGTAGTATAGTATCTGGGATGGGATCTTGGACCAGAGAAAGGATATTAGGTAAAAATAAGGAAATCTGAATAAAGTGTGAACTATGAGAATTCTTTACAATTTTCCTATACATCTAAAAGCATTGAAAAAAATAACAAAGCTTATTTTTAAAAATTTTTTAGGATTTCCTTGGTGGCCCAGTGGTTAGGATTCTGCCTCCCAATGCAAGGAACACAGGTTCGATACCTGGTCTGGGAGGTTTCCACATGCCATGGGGCAACTAAGCCCCTGTGCCATGTGTTCAGTCCATCTGCCTAGAGCCCAAGCTTGGCATCAAGAGAGTAACCCCTGCTTGCTGCAGCTAGAAAAATCCCACACACAGCAGTGAAGATCTAGTGCAGTCAATAAGTAAATAATTCTTAAAAATAGTTAGTTTTAGAACTAACACTAAGAGACTGGAATGCATAAGTAGGAAGTCAAGAAACACCTGGAGTAACAGGCAAATTTGGCCTTGGAGTATAGAATGAAGCAGGGCAAAAGCTAATAGAATTTTGCCAAGAGAAAGCACTGGTCATAGCAAACACCCTCTTCCAACAACACAAGAGAAGACTCTACACATGGACATTCCCAGATGTTCGACACCAAAATCAGATTGATTATATTCTTTGCAGCCAAAGATGGAGAAGCTCTATACAGTCAACAAAAACAAGACCGGGAACTGACTATGGCTCCGATCATGAACTCCCTATTGCCAAATTCAGACTTAAGTTGAAGAAAGTAGGGAAAACCACTAGATCATTCAGGTATCACCTAAATGAAATCCCTTACAATTATACAGTGGAAGTGAGAAATAGATTTAGGGGACTAGATCTTACAGACAGAGTGCCTGATGAACTATGGACGGAGGTCCGTGACACTGTACAGGAGACAGGGATCAAGACCAGCCCCAAGAAAATGAAATACAAAAAAGCAAAATGGCTGTCTGAGGAGGCCTTACAAATAGCTGTGGAAAGAAGGGAAGCAAAAAGCAAAGGAGAAAAGGAAAGATATACCCATTTGAATGCAGAGTTCCAAAGAATAGCAAGGAGAGATAAGAAAGCCTTCCTCAGTGATCAGTGCAAAGAAATAGAGGAAAACAGTAAAATGGGAAAGACTAGAGATCTCTTCAAGAAAATTAGAGATATCAAGGGAACATTTTATGCAAAGATGGGCTCAATAAAGGACAGAAATAGTATGGATCCAACAAAAGCAGAAGATATTAAGAAGAGGTGGCAAGAATACACAGAAGAACTGTACAAAAAAGATCTTCATGACCCAGGTAATCAGGATGGTGTGATCACTGACCTAGAGCCAGACATCCTGGAATGTGAAGTCAAGTGGGCCTTAGGAAACATCACTACGAACAAAGCTAGTAGATGTGATGGAATTCCAGTTGAGCTATTTCAAATCCT